TTTTTTTTTTTTTTTTTTCTTTCTTTTTATTCCCCCCCCCCCCCCCCACTTGTCCGCTATTTTTCGGAAGCAGACCTGGCAACACTAAACAAAGCAATACCGAAAAATTATTTTGAACTTGCTTTTTTTTTTATATATTAAGTTATATATTCATTTGTTACATATGAATATATAACTTAATAATTTAATACTTATAATTATTATGTTTATATTATATTTTATTCTATAATATAAATATAATTATAATATAAATTGTTCCAGACAAGCTTGATCCATTCATTTAAAAATGAAATCCATTCCAATACCAATTCAATACCAACTTTTAATCAATTGATATTCTATATATATGATAGGCCTACACCACAAAGGCCAAACACTGATTAGACTGATTGAAAATGTAAATACAGGTACAGCCTGCCTCACATACATGAAGATTTGAACTGCGTGAGCAATAGTGCTTCTCTCTAGTTTGGGCCTGCTTCAAATCCTCTTACTTGTCACGACAGTGCTCATGTGCGGAACAACCAAACACAGTGTGCGTCACTAGAACTATGAAGTAACACAGTTCCATGCTAGCATATTTGTGTGTTTTTTTACAAATAAGATGAATGATGATGACCTCTGACTTTGTGAATTATTAATCATTATTCATAGTATTAAATATTATTTCTCATATGCAAGTAAGTTAAGATAAGATTCTTTTATTGATCCAAAAGAAAGGAAATGTTTTTTGATTGCATTGTACATTTTCAGCACGTAAATAAAACAATTTCAACACAAGACATCTACATTAAGTTATTTCACTAGTGAAAATATAGCCATTCAGTGAATTCTCTTAGCCATATCAGGGACTTATTAGTTCTCATTTAGATTTGTGAATTCTGTCAGAGCATGCTGGTAAATTTGTACAGATTGGGGAACAAAAGAATTTTTATATCTTTCAGTCCTCGCCCTAAGAGAAAGAATTCGTCCCGAACGGGCCGATCCCAAGTATCTGTGATGACGCGGGTGGGATGTATAATCCAAAATTTGTTTGGTTTTACAATAAAGAAAGAAAGAAAAAAAATCATTACCCTTATACACTGCTGTATGTTATTAACACATTTGAGTGAAAATATGGGGTGCTGCTGTTCCACAGTGCTATGCACAAGCCTCCACTGCTCAGTTGCTTATTTAAAGTATTTTATTCCCTTACTCTGCCCTACTGATACTCGCACTCATGACACATGCCTCATACTACTACTGCAGTGCTAGAGAGTGGAAGTGGTGTCTCAGAAGCCTACCTAATTAGAGTATTCACTGTAAGTGGGTATTTTTGCAGCAGTCTACTCCTACAAATAACAGGTCAACTGACTGGTAAATTAAGACTTAAAAAAAGAAGTACTGAGTACCCGATAATTGAAAGACCAACAAGCATTTGATGATTTATAAAACAATGAGATCAAAAAAATTATTAATATTGAATTAGCAAACAGCACTACTTCTACTACTAGCAATTCACTCAGCTAATTAGTTTATAAATTTTAATATAATGGCCAAGCTATAAAAAAAGAAAAACAACCTGTCACGTCATCAAGCATTTCTGTACTGTCCAGGTACTACTGCAACTACCACTACTACTTGTAACTACTACTAATATACTGTAGATCAGTGTTCCCCCAAAGTGGACAGACTGGCACCTGTCTGCACAACATGATACAAGAAACTGGGAAAAAAAGGTCAATACAGGCACCAAGAGTTGAATTTTCTTGTGTACATGTTTATTTCATTTCCACTTACATGAAAAGTTTTCTTGCATTTTATTAATCAGTTTCTCAAAGCTAACTTCTCCCAACCACCTTGGGAACCTCTACTTTAATGCTAATAGCAATGCATGCTAATTGTAGTAATTTGCCTTTTTTTTTTTCCCCAGGTAGGCATCTTACAATGTTCAAGACTAAGCAAGCAAATCTGAAGCGAAAGAAGAGGGTATGTGTTTCTAAAGAAGCACCTCTTCCAGTACCCGTGGCAACAACTTTACATGAGCCATCCCATAACAGATCATGGTTTTACTACACCGGTTTTATTGAAGGGTCGGTTATTGTGGTTGTCCATTCTGGTGACATGGATTTTTTATATAAAATGGTAAATTATTCCAGTCCATATTTTTGAGGTTTGTTTGTGAGCATTAATAATATGTCTTTATTCTTCATTAAATTGCTATTTAAAATTAGCATAATTTATTAAAAGTAGCATTGAGAAATTGGACACTTAAGTTAGTCTTTTTAAGACCATACTATAAAAAAACTTATGAAAACCTTTCAGCCATTTATCTCCTACTAATGCTCTAACCAACCTAAGTTATCTTAGTGCCAATACGTGTTATTTTGATGACAGTACAATATTTTTATTAATTTTAGGCCAGGACGTAAATTCATGGTCTCTGATATCAGAGCTCAAACATTTTTCACAATGAAGCATTAAGAGTGATCAAATTTACTTACAGGGATTTTTCGGTAAAGGATCAATGTCACGCAGCCAACCAAACTTTGTGGATCGCAAACAAAAGGTTAATTTTTGCATGGCTAGAAAATCTCAGCAGAGTCAAGATATATTGCCACCATCATCAAACATGGTGATAATGTCAAAGAGAAAGTAAGTAGCTGTTGATCAACATTTCTGCTCTAAAAAAATGCATTCACTTCTTATAAAATATTCTAACTTTACACTTTTGAACTTTTACTTACGCTTTTACACTAACATTTTAAAACAATTTTTTAAGGGCAAATAAAAATTTAAAAATTTAAATTTTAAAAAATGCACAATTACGAAGTGATGAAGACTAACAAGACGGAAATTACACCTTTGAACCTCTGGGGTTGAAATTAAGACATAGCTGAGATATTTAAATATTTGCATTTTACCTTAAAGGCCTGTTTTATTAATTCCATTGTCTGTTAACAAAATCTCTAATTTGTCTGATCAGTTTTGTTCAAGATTTAAATTTTATTTGTAACCATTAAAATGTATTTTGTTAAAAATAAAAAATAATCAGCTAGTGAAGAACTTGATGCTTGTCTTAACATTTTCCATTAAAAATGTTGAATTGCTCATCACGTTTAATATGATTTTAATGTCGTGCTCTGAATTTTTATGCTTTCTTTCATTTTTGCTGAATTTCACTGATTTATACTTTGCTAATGACAAAATTCACATGTACACACCACTTCAGCCATTATTTTTTTGAGTAGGATCTTTTGAAATTTTAATTGCATATGGTAAATATGTATATTTTTTTAATGATGTGTACTTTTGTACTTCTTAGAAAGTATTTGCATACGTGAAATAAAAAAAAATAAATATTTTATTACATTTTTTTTTAGTACATATCGTGTAAGCGACCTCAAGGAGGTGTGCTAAATGCATGTGGCCTGCTGGTCCTGCTGTGGTCAATCAAGAGATTTATGCAAATATTTTCTTAGAGGCACAAAAGTACACGTCATTGATAAATGTGCACCGACCTCTTGAATCAGTCAGTTTCCTATTTTAAAAATATTTAACTGAACCCAAATATTCAATCATACCAGTTTGTCAAATGATGTTTTCATGATGTTTTCATCAGATCATTAGTATTGTCCAATAGTTCATACTGTTTTTACTTGATTTGAAACTATAGAATTGTGTCATGTTTTATTTCAGTACTTCCAGGTTTTTTAAGATATCCCCATGTTGTCCCATAATATTTACAATGAGATTGAAGTTCTGCGTCAAAATTTTAATTGGCTCACTCATATTCCGTTTAAAATATTTATCTTTGTTGCTCACCATTGATGTTTTCATCCCGAGTTCAAAATTATATTTCAGTAACTGGTTTTTAAACCCATTTTCTAACTAAATTTGCTAAGGTTTCACCATTGTCTTTCATGTAATGGCTTTTTAACATTTACCCACAGCTACCTCGTCCACAAGAGATATCAAGCCTTGTCTGAAGGTAGGACTAAGGAGTTTGAGGATATTGTCCTACAAGAGGAGAATCAACATTATCAACCAAAATCAAGTGATTCAGAAGAGGATGCATCTTCTGGAGAATACCCTTACCCAAACAATGATAATTTGGCCAGAGCACAGGCCTTTCAGCTCTTGAAGTCTCAGAGACTCACAGCTGACTCTGGTCCTGTCTCAGGGACTGACCATTTTAAAAGTGCTTTAAACATTTCAAACCAAACCAAACTGTATCTGACGGCCATGTTGTCACAAGTTTCCTCATTGTCCCATGAACAAATCGCAACATTTCTCTGCGTGCCTTACACCACTAGTCAGCTCGTGTCAAAGTTTAAGGAAATGAGAAATGCCGAATTGAATGCGCCAAAGCAGACAAATCAAGGGATCAAATTTAAAAAAGGTGAGGTAATAACTTTAGATGAAGATGACGCAAAGGACACACCAGCTGACACAGTCGAGTCTTTTGTCATATTAGACAGTGACGAGGAACAACAGAATGGAACCGATGAAGTAATTAAGGGGAAAGCTGTTGATTCACACTGGAACGAATATGATGGGGGAGATGTTGAATTTTGGAGCTCTGCAAGTCCTTCGCAGACCACTGTAAATAAATCTGGCAAAGACAGGGCTGTTGGCGAACCTAAGACGGAAACTGAAATTATTGCAGATAAAGATCATTCTAATGGAAAGGTTGCTGATAAAGATAATTCTAATGGAATGGTTGCTGATAAAGATAATTCTAATAGAAAGGTTGCTGATAAAGATAATTCTAATGGAAAGGCTGCTGATAAAGATAATTCTAATGGAAAGGCACTGGTGAGTGAGATAAGTGTTGCAGTCTGTGAGGTTGAAGCTCAGGGGAAAGATTTCAAGAACATTGGTGAAAAGAAGGAAGATTCTATCAAATCTGGGCATTCTCTTGCTGAAGATGCAAAAGAAAGTAATTTAAATTTAGATCAAAGAGATTCTATCAAATCTGGGCATTCTCTTGCTGAAGATGCAAAAGAAAGTAATTTAAATTTAGATCAAAGAGATTCAGTCATTATTAATACAAAAGAAACTGATAAAAGTTCAGATGTTGAAATAGCTATGAACCCAAAAGTAACTGATGGAAGCTCAGAGGATACAGAAGTAGCTATGAACCCAAAAGTAACTGATGGAAGCTCAGAGGATATGGAAGTAGCTATGAACCCAAAAGTAACTGATGGAAGCTCAGAAGATAAGGAAATAGCTATGAACCCAAAAGAATCTGATAAAAGTTTTGAGGATACAGAAGTAGCTATTAGCCCAAAAGAAACTGTTAAAAGTTTAGAGGATAAGGAAATAGCTATGAACCCAAAAAAAACTGATACAAGTTTAAAGCATACGGAAAAAGCTATGAACTCAAAAGTAACTGATGGAAGCTTAGAGGAAAAGGAAATGATTATGAACCTAAAAGAATCCCAACATGAAAAGAAGCTGTCGTCGCCCTGTGTTACACCAATGCTGTGCAGTGATGAGAGCTCTAACGATAGTGACGATGTCATTTGTATAGAATCGGAATCTGCAGAACCCAAAAAACTACAGAAATATCTGTCCCTTCCTGCAAGTGGTGACCCTGTAGTTACGAGGTCTGTGACATTTATGAGTAACAACACCAGTGAACCACAGTACGTTTCTGCCAAAGTGGGTTTCACCAACTGGGGACCTCTCTTGCATTTCAACTTCACAGGTGACCCATCACATTTGCCCACAGCCATGTTTGTGGCAGAAGGAAGAAGCTCAGCTGAAAACGCTGAAGCCCAGAAGCCAACGGCTTATGTTCGATTGTATCCACCTGTTCAGTCATTGATCCCAAAGCCCAATTCCAGAGGTGTCACCATCAGGCAACGACTCAAAGAACTACCGTGTCTGAGCACGGCTTACCTCAAGGTTACTACGCGGCCGGGCCAGAGCTGGGGCCAACCTTCTTCAAGTGGGGTGAAACAAAGACAACAGCCATCGGGTCAAACATTATTTCCAACACAAGCCACATGTTGGGCTCGGCCACAAAACTCTGGAAAGATTAGCATATCCTTAAATAACAGCGAAGGTCTTTCTCAATCAACACATTTTCCCCCCTGTGGTTTTTCCAAAATTAACTTTTTGGAATTACAGTCATATCTTTGTTTATATCAGTGTAGATCAGAACCAGCTGAACCCAACACACACAGAAGCACACCATCAGAACCAGCTGAACCCAACGCATACAAAAGCAAACCATCAGAACCAGCTGAACCCAATGCACACAAAAGCACACCTTCAGAACCAGCTGAACCCAACGCACACAAAAGCACACCATCAGAACCAGCTGAACCCAATGTACACAGAAGCACACCATCAGAACCAGCTGTACCCAATGCACACAGAAGCACATCATCAGAACCAGGTCAACCCAACGCCGCACACAGAAACACACCATCAGATCTACCTGAACCAAACACACATATAAATTGTATTCCTCAAATGAAGCTACAAGATTTTTCAGATACTGTACAAAAAATAGTTTCCCTTCTAAAACCAGATTCTATGGACACAGACAAAGATATAAAAAATTTCATCAGTACAGAAGAATGCCATCAAGGGACTTTAGATGCTTTAAGCTCTGACTTTCACATGACATTGTCAGAACTGGTCTCTAGAATGGGCTCTTCCGCTGACACGGAGCTGGCCTGGTTGGGCCATTTGTTGTCGAAACCCGAGTCACGCACCGATGGTCCTAAACAAATCCTTCCTGACTCTCTGAACAAATTAACATCATTTCAGTTACAGCTGCTTAAGAATCGTTACTGGTTTTTGAACAGTCACTTGAATAGTGAGCGAAAACAGATCTTGGTCAATCTGGATGACTGTGAAAAGAAGGATGAAGTTGCTGAGAGATGGGCAAAAGAGGATAGTAGGATTACAGGGACAAGTCATGATACCAGATCAGAGAACAGTGGACAATCACATGAGGACATGTCCGACAGTGCTGTGGGAGTTGAGGTTGATCTTCGAGAAAAAATATTAAAAAGGCAGAAAGATCATTCAGACCAGGAAAATGAGCCTAAGGGGAAGAAACTCAAGCCAGACGAAAGTGCAGCAGAATCCACCAGCACAGACTACTGTGCCGATCTGAGACCAAACCCCCCAGTAACTGACAACACGTCACTAGGATTCACTAATGAAAGTGCTCTGAGCACCTCGAGAGAGAAGACTCATCAGCATGATGCCAAGTGCTTGGGGAAATTTTCTGAAAAAGAGGATGCAGTGATGGAGGTCAATAGTTCAGAAAAAGCATGCATGAAAAGAAATTCATCAGAAAGTTCAGAGTGTAATATTTGCAGCCAGACGAAAGGAGAGTGTTCAAAACCTCATTCTGGTCTTTTTAAAGAAAGTGAAATTAACAATTCTGCATTAAATGAAAGCTGTATAATATTGGACAGTTCTGCAATGAATGAAAGCTGTGTAATATTGGACAATAGTTTTGAGAACGGTGCAAACCATGTTGTCTCAGTGCCTAACAGTTCTGTTTCAGAGAGCTGTTTAACGGACGGAAATCAAATAAAAATCTTAGAAACTGGTGGCTGTAAACAAACGACCAATCCAGCAGTTGAAAAACCAGAAAAAGTTCCTGTGCAAAATGAAGATATGAAAGAAAGTCTCCATATTTGTATCAGCAGCAGCTCAGATGAAGATGGAAGTAAATCTCATCGTGACAGAAGTCGTGCGGAAAATTTTCACCCTTACAGTGTAGTAGATGATGCACAGCCTGATGCTTTGATCATGGACAACACATCTGATGGTGATGAGAGTGCTGATGAAAGGTGGAAACATAAGCAAAGGTGGCAGCCTTGTCTGAAGAAAGACCCCTATCCTGCTAAAGAAAGTTTGCATCTAATGTTGGAAGAGGTAAGTTCAGAGTTCATTGTTGGGTCACAGTACTCCCGTAGCATAGGCTGACTTCAGAGTCAGGGCTGTCTCCTTGTTCTCTTAATGATTTTTATGCATGGTATGGTATGACCTAATATTAACCTTAATTCGAGCAAGTTAGCTGGTTCTTTAACCTTGATGTTTTGTCACCAAAGTTCTTGGAAATATTTTAATATTTTGCCATAATATGAAAGAAATATTTAAGTGTTTCCATATGTGTCTTTGATAATGAAATTTTTAGATGCAGTTTTCAGTAGCTTTTTTTATTTGTAAAATTTAACCCTAGCTCTTTTTATTTCATAGTTAAAATGGAACATTATGAGTGATTGGACTTTATAACATGAATGTTACTGAATTTTTCAGTGAAAGCTTTAAAAAAAAAATCAACAGATTTTACATTTATGCTAATAGTTTTTTTTAATTTTATTAGTCTCAGAAATATGAAATACTTAACATTTAATGATAAGAAAGATATGATCCTGAAAATGGGTCAGTGTGTGGATGAAGTCTAGGCCCAAGACATTTAGGTTGTACAAAAATCAAAACCTGTGTTATCGAACAGAGCTGGGGACGACATTAACGTGTGGATGAAGTCTAGGCCCAAGGCATTTGGGTTGTACAAAAATCAAAACCTGTATCATCGAACAGAGCTTGACGACATAAACATTTTGACCTCCTACCGAAGTTTTAATTGTTATTTAATTGTAAACAGATCTTGCATGATAGTAACCTTTCCTTATGTTGTAGATGCTGCTATTTTAAACAGATATTAAAAATTTTTTTTTTTTCTAAATCAATAAATGTTATTTATACATTAAATTCTCTAGTTATCATTTTACTCTAAAAGCTTGCCCTCTATTTAAAAGCTTGCTTTGTCATGATTTGACATTCAAATATCAGCCTTGTTTGTTTATAAGCTATTTAAATAAACTTACAAATGAAAACTGTTAAGTTTGGTAGGCCCTTTAAAAAAAAAAGGTACTATTATCCATGTTACATGCTTTTTTTTTTCTTCTTTTTTTTGTGTTAAATATTACTCTACCTTTAATTTTGTATCAGTAAATGATTTTAAAAAATTGTTTAAAAAAGTAGTCAGAATCCTTAGATTGCAGCCTGTCTGGCACAGAACTTAAGCTTTTGAAAAACCCGGTAAGTTGATATAACAAACAATTACGTGATCATAGTTTTGTTATGTTATTCAAAATGCTCCTTATTTCTACAGGCATTCTTCTTATCTTATGGCCTCGGATGTTTACGAATTTTGGATCCTGAAATGGTAAGTTATAAATGTATTGAACACTGAAAGTTTCATCAACTGAATGTTAAAGTTATAGATATTGTGCTTTTTAATAAAAAAATAACAGTGTTTATTATTGGGATTTTTTTCCATACAGCTTACAATTGGACAAACAGATGTTTTATTTTTTTCACACATTTTGGGAAAATTTGCAAACATTTAAAATGATTTTGCGTTTAAATGATTTTATGTCTCCAGTTTTTCATATTGATATGATTACTTTGTTTATTACAGAAGGTGTTAAGTCTGACAGAAATGTGGCAAAAGTTTCAGATCCTAAAAGATGAGTTCATCCCTCACTATGTCGCCTATCACTATTTTCGTAGCAAAGGTTGGGTGCCCAAATCAGGGCTCAAATTTGGATGTGATTTAAGTAAGTTTTTTAATAATTTTCTTTTTTTTTTCTTGGAGGTATAGACCTTTGTAATATTAGTGCTTCCTTTTCTTATCATGAAGTGGCTCTTTCTGTGTGGCCCACATGCGTCCATGGCAGGGGTTGGCAACATGCAGCCCGCTGAAATGTTTAACGTGGCCTACGTTACCTTCTAGTAACTGGAAAAAATTTGTTGTTTAATATTAAAATTCACAACGCTTATCTTTAATAGCCTTGAAAATTACAGTATAAATTTGTTTAACTAGCTAATTATCAAATTGAAGTGGTATTGAATTTTCCAAGCCCATCTATATGGTGTTTTTTTAAAATAGATCCATAATTCTTTGAAAAATCTGACCGAGCCAGCAAGTCCAAGATTTGCATAAGCCAAAATAAGTGTCATGATATTTCCAAGTTCTATTCATGAGCACATGCAAGCATCTTGCCTCACCTTGGCTCAATACTTATAATGCAAAGATTTTTGAAGTGTAACCAGCTTTTTATTTCATTTACCTAATGAAAGTTGAGTTTTTAATAAATTTATGTTAAGAGAATCAGGGCCTCAACATTGACTTGACATCAAAATAAAAAAATTAAAAAAAATGTTCAATGCTTTTTAAACTAATGTGTCAGGAGATGGTGGCTGTTTTAAAAGTATGTGAGTGAAATTGAATTAAACCACGAGCTGATGACTTGTAGAGAAATCTAAAACAGGAACTGAGGCTTTGCCATCCCTGGAGCATTTGAATGAAACTACAACTGAACAAGGGATATTTGTAATTATTAGTAAATGCTCTGACAGGATTGAACTAAAACTGAATAAACTTACCAGTGTAACTACCGCTAAAAATCTGGGTCTGATCAGGAACAGTGAATGATGAAGTGAAAACTGTACATCCTGGTTCCATCCTACTACCATTTGATTTTATCATGCAATACGAAGGTTTGTGTAAAGCTGTTATTGATTACCACCACGTTGTTAACCCCGTTGTCAGAGATGTGAATGCAACTAAAGCTCTGGGACATTCATCTGTAGTGAAGCAATGTTTGGATGCAATTATTTTGTTGTTTTTTAAAAAGGCCCTTACATGAAAATAATAAGCTCAACATATAAATTTGATTATTATGAGTACATGTTTTTACTTTTGTATTTGAAACACTTTAGCACCCATTTAAAATCAGGGGGGGGGGGGTATGGGGGGGAAAAGTGGGGAGGAAGCTGAACCCCCCCTCCTCCAAAAATGTTTGTTAAATTCAAAATGAAAGGATCCATTTTGGCTTATCCTTGAATTTATAATTTTTTAACATGAAAATAATAAGCTCAACATATAAATTTGATTATTATGAGTACATGTTTTTACTTTTGTATTTGAAACACTTTAGCACCCATTTAAAATCAGGGGGGGGGGGTATGGGGGGGAAAAGTGGGGAGGAAGCTGAACCCCACCTCCTCCAAAAATGTTTGATAAATTCAAAATGAAAGGATCCATTTTGGCATATACTTGAATTTATAATTTTTTTTATCATACTTCCTAGAAGAGATGCTAGTTGAAAATTAGGTTCCCTGGCCTAAATGTGATTATAACAAAAACCCAACTTTCTTTTTAGCTAGTGGTTTCTTATTTTTATTTAAACTATTTTTTTTTAAAAACTACTTCATTAATAAAATAATTGTTTAAAACTTAGTCATCGAAAAAATGCATCCTGTAATTCCACCAACTTTGTGAGAGCCCCGGGTACAAGATGCACATTTGATCTTGGCGTTATAGCGCTAAGATTCCCAGAAAGTTATTATGTCACCCGCCAAAAAGTTTTAATTACCATGTGGCCTCCTGCACAAAATGTTGCCCACCCCTAGTACATGGTGTGTCCCAAAAAATGTATGCCACGTAAGCAACAGGGTATACACCATTGTAGGTTGACGACCTTTTACATTTTAGTTTGTGTTTTGAACCTAATTTCAAAATTATTCCGGCAAAATTTGTGTTCTGTAGCTTTTCGCACTATTTAACACCTTTATTAATAGGCTGCAGCCAAAACCTTCTGCAGTTGAAGCCATCTACTGCAAAGTCCTCCGATCAGCTTGTATTGCAGGTGGTTGCCTTAGCTTGGCTAAGTTATAAAAATAAAGTCTTTTAACATCGCCCATGTTCTTAAATGTATTTCAAACCTTTGTATTCTTCAGTTCTCTACAAGGAAGGACCTCCGTTCTTTCATGGCAGTTATTCTGTCATTGTGAGCTCAGTGAAAGAGAAAAGTGTTCTCCCATGCACCAGGAGCGATGGATTTAACTTTGACCAGAGGCAAGCCAACTGGATCTACCTGGCAGGTGTTAATCGTATCACGGAACAAGTGGCCAAGGTTCGCACCTCTTGTAACTATATGTGGGGAGCCGCCTCCTTTTCCTGTCTTTACTCAACTCATTCAAAACACTGATAAGTAAATAACAGGATGATTACATTTTTTTCCAATAATTACCGTTTTGATTTACTTGTAAGACCTACACTTGACCTGACCATGGCCATTACTTTATAAATGAAAATGCAAATACTTTTTTTTTTATACAAGTTGTTTGACAGGTTCATCTTGAAAGTATCTATCCTCTTGTGTTGTTTATTTCAGAATTTAATGATGTGTTACGTTATTTGGCCTGCCAGCCTCAGCAAAGAGGATACACAATCACCTTCTTGCATTTCCAAGTTTCAAGTCAAGGTAGGGATTATAAACATGACGGTAACTCAGAACAACTGGTTGATTTGCCTTAAGATGATGGCCTAGTGAGACCCCATGTCGGAGTAGCTCTATAGCATGTTATATGACAATAAATCAGAACATCTGGTTGATTTGCCTTAAGATGATGGCCTAGTGAGACCCCAAGTGGGAGTACCTCTGTTGCATGTTAAATGACAATAAATCAGAACATCTGGTTGATTTGCCTTAAGATGATGGCCTAGTGAGGCCCCATGTTGGAGTAGCTCTGTTGCATGTTAAATGAAATTGATAAAAAATAAAAAATTAAATAACTCTTCTATTTAAATACATTGTTTCAGGAGGTGGTTCTGTCCAGATGGATACCATCCCAGGAGAGAGAAAACAAAATGGATGAAATTCCTTAACTCCCAAGCTGAGTTCACAAAAGCTGAGTTCACAAAGATGAGTTCACAAAGATGAGTTCACAAAGCTGAGATCATCTCTACAGCTTCAAGCCATGTTCATTCATGACTCCGTAGACAATAACGTGTTAATATAAATAAACTGGCTGCCGACATACCCAAGAACCAAGCCATTGCCACCAATACCAGTAGTACTATCCGGTAACACTTTTTTTTTTATCCGCATAGCACATCTAGTGCACCAACTGCCCCTTCAGCTCAGCACAGGAAAACATTGTCATCGCACACATATTTTGGAAAGCTTGGTAATGACAGAAGTTTGGAAAGCTCTGTGAAATCTGTAAGCGAAAAAAATGTGTAAAAGTTGTTCTGGAAATAGTAGAATGCAAGGATGCTATGTTCCATTTTAACATTTTGCTTTTACAAATACATGTACAAATACATGCCAAGTATAGAAGCGGAAAGCCACGGATCGATCCATATGGAAGGATGTGGTGGAGCAGGCCAGGGCCCTTCATGGGCCGTAGCGCCACTGATGATGTACACTTACATGCCAAGTATAGGGTTTCACTTTACACTTGTACTGTACAAATAGATACATGCCTACTATAGGGTTAAACATACTTGTAAAAATATGAGGCAAGTATTTTATTCATTGCTATACTTGTACAAATACATGTATATTATATGATTAAACACTATACTTCTACAAATACATGGCAGGTATATGATTTAACATTATACTTTTACAAATGCATGCCAAGTATAGGGTTTAACTTTATACACGGACAAATACTGGGCAAGTATGTGATTTAACTTACACAAATACATGCCTTGTCTTTGATTTAACATTATACTTGTACAAAAACATGTAGCATCACTCAAAATGTCTATTTTCCACAATGTTAATTCATATGGATTGTGAAAACTCTGTTGTGAAGAAGTAGAAACGAAGAATGGTGAACTACAAGCTGCAGATTGTTTGGTGTGTGGAGGTATGTTTGATCATTGTACAAGGGGACACTCAATGAGTGGTATGGTGTTTGGTGTGTGGTGTTATGTTTGATCATTTTTCAAGGGGACACTCAATAAGTGGTATGGTGTTTGGTGTGGGGAGTTATGTTTGATCATTGTACAAGGGGACACTCAATGAGTGGTATGGTGTTTGGTGTGTGGTGTTATGTTTGATCATTTTTCAAGGGGACACTCAATAAGTGGTATGGTGTTTGGTGTGTGGAGGTATGTTTGATCATTGTACAAGGGGACACTCAATGAGTGGTATGGTGTTTGGTGTGTGGTGTTATGTTTGATCATTGTACAAGGGGACACTCAATGAGTTGTATGGTGTTTGGTGTGTGGTGTTATGTTTGATCATTGTACAAGGGGACACTCAATGAGTGGTATGGTGTTTGGTGTGTGGTGTTATGTTTGATCATTTTTCAAGGGGACACTCAATGAGTTGTATGGTGTTTACTAGTTATCACTTGGTATCTGTCTTTGTACATCCTGCCATCTATATATTACGATATATTTTGTTCGCAATTAATTAATTCAACTATTGGCTTGGCGTAAGTTGCCATTAGAACATGTACACACTGTTTTGGGTTTTTGTACATAGTTTCTAATTTTTGTACATAGTTTTCATTATTGTATATCGTTATTTTTTAATTTTTGTACATAACTTTGGGCAATCTGTGTACATGGTTTTGACTTCAAGGGGGTGGGTGGTGGGGGATGAAATGTGTGTTTGGTGAATGATGGAAATGTGTGATGAAATATTTATGATCTTTCAATGATCAAGTTGCTATGTTTCAGTCGTAAACGCCATCCTGTATTCATAGAGATTAATTTGTGTTTATTTTGGTGGTGGGTTAGCTTATGTGTAGCTTACTGATACCCTGAAGTACAGGAAAAATTAGGTAACCTACTCACTTTCTGTGTGCGCCACTGTAAAGTAGAATCTGTGTAAAATATAATGTGTCATTTGAAGAGGACGCATGTCTTGTTTGGTACATTTTGGTTAATAAAATCATCCTAATGAGTGTCTGGTAGCGTGGATTTTATTTTTTTTTCATTGGTGGTAAAATATTCATCTTTTTTTGTAATTGCAAGATTAGTCTAAGCTGCGTGATTGTTGACCCCCCCCCCCTTTCTCCCCCCCCCCCCCCCCGTCGCCATCAGTTTGTGGGCTGCACTCTTTGACTGTTGAGTTCATCTTTCTTTCAGGTTTGATTGATCCTTGGCTTGTATTGGATCAGGGTGGCCTCTTTCCTTGTGGTGAGTGCCGCTGTTCATCTTTTCCGATTGATGTTAAAACTCTTAAAAGCTCGTTTTTCAGATGAAGGGCCCCACAGTTATTTTGTTGGTAACTGATACAGTAGGGAAGTTGAAATGGTTTCGAATGTCCCTGTTAGAAGGGTTGTTGGTAACTGATACCGTAGGGCAATCGAGATGCTGTTAACAGTTAGCAAAGACCTAAACACGCGGTTCTTACTTGAAGGTTTTACTGGTGTTGCCGTGATCTTGATGAAAGACACGTATAAATTGCAATTTCTTCATGTCAGTGTTGAGTCAGTATTGAGTCAGTGTTGAGTCAGCTGGTTCTTGTTTTCATAAGCTCTAGAACTGCCCCCAGCCCCCACCCCGTCCCACTAAAACTCTCACCACCTAGCGAAATAATCTTTCTCTTTTATTGATATATGCAATTCATCATTCATCCTCCACTGACAACCCAGGACCACTTCTCACCGACCCACTCCTACCTCCCAACCCACCCCTACCTCTCAACCCACCCCCAAACCCACCACTACCTGCCAACGGACACAACCACCCCCCCCACCCCCCCAATAACTCACAATCACCAGCCATTCGACTTCATTTATTTGTCGGTTTATTTCATCAACCCCTTGCGAAACCTCTTGCATTATTTGGCAAATCAACAAGCTGCTGGTTTGATTAGTAAAAAAAAACCCTCCCCCATAAGTTGATCAGTTCCATTGATAGTGTGCAACAACAGAACTTCATGTAGAAGTAGCAGAGCCGCCTGTCACGTGACCTCTTTTTTAGTGTACAGATCAGCGCCCTTAGAGTTTTTATTGATTATTGATTTACACACCTATCAGTGGCATTAGTCTGTACGTATGGAAGAGAGACCCCCTGCGGAGGTGGGGGGAGGGGCAGGAACAAAGAATGTCTATTTAAACAGATCAAGTCTAAACATTCCTGTCCGAAAAAAAAAGAAGGAAAAAAAAACTTGATTAATTTATATATAGACGTCGTCACAAAAAGTACTCAAATTGATTAATTTATATATAGACTTCGTCACAAAAAGTACTCAAATTGATTAATTTATATATAGACTTCGTCACAAAAAGTACTCAAATTGATTAATTTATATATAGACTTCGTCACAAAAAGTACTCAAATTGATACATTTATTTGTTATAGGCATAGTCACAAAAGAACTCACTCAAAAAAACACGATATTATGTGCGTGTGTTTTTTTAACTTAGGTCAGTTTAATTGGAATTAATTATTTTTTTTTAAGGACTGTCCTTGTATCTTGCAGCAGAAGATAGATTTGTACAATGTTTCACGGTCTAATGAACTACTAAAGTGATACATCTGGTGATACACTGCCACCAATCTTTAAAACAACGTCGGTCTCAGAAATAATTCATACAACAATATCTCAATCAATTTTTCAAACAAACTTATTAATGTTTTTGCACCCCCCCCCCTTTTTTCGTTTTAAAAATATTTTTTAAATAGTTGTCTTTAATGTCAAGGCATTGCATTAATCTACATACACCGCTTAAAAGTAGTCCCGGCCAGTGGTGGGGGAAATTATTGGTTGTGAAGCCCAGGGCATACCTTATTTTTTTTTACTAACCCCGATTAAAAAAAAAAAAAAAACAACAGTGCAGACCGAATACACATTTAAAAAGAGTAAGAAGTGGACACAAAAATGCAACCCCACCCCCCACACACACACACACTTCTTTTCCTACGGTCGCGCATACTCAAAACTTTTTTTAAAAAAATGTTCCGGAAAAAAAAGATATCTTTAAATAGTAAAGGTAGAGGGAAAATAAGCAGCGTTGATTCTATGATTGAACAGCACGGCTATGTGATTACTAGGACAGAGGTGTTTATAATCTCTAACCCGATGGTTCTCAATCTTCCTAATGTCGCGACTCTTTATTACAGTTCCTCATGTTGTGGTGACCCCGACCCGACACCCCCCCCCCCCACAACCATAAAATTATTTTAGTTTCTTCTTCATAAATATGTGTTTTCCGATGGTCGTAGGCGACCCCTGTGTAAGAGTGGTTTGACCTTTCAAAGGGGTCATGACACACAGGTCGAGATCCGCTGCTCTAACGTGTCCAGTGATAACTTTTGATATAAACCCTTTTCATGTAAGGTATGGGGAGGGAAGGGAGGCGCTCAGATATGTGATATGGATTTAAACCCCAGAGTGTTCCTATCATATTTTTCGTGTACACTGATCCCAACGCCGGAGTCCCCTGTGT